AACGAGAAGATTGTAATAAATAAATACTAAAGGTGAAAAAATAAAATCTCAGAAAAGCGGTCAGTATAATGAAACAAGATGAGGGTTGGTCGATTTGAATTAAAAATACAGACGACTTTTTGAATGATGTCAAGTGGATTCCATTTTCATTTGACTTTGTTGAAAAATATTCCTAGAGACAACAAAAGACAATTGTTAAAACTGTAGTATACGAGTAAAAAGTTTTTATTTATGCCAATGCTCAATCAAAAACCAATCATCCGAGGAAAAAACAAACCCGTCGATATTCACAAGTCTAGTAATGGATTTATAACGCATTTTATATGTACGTATTCCCCTTAGGCGGCGGAAAAAAATTTATAATATCTAATACTCACACACGTTCGCACATATATACATAAAAGTGACATTTGCCCTAAAATGTGTCTAGAAAGTAGAGTGTGATTCTCTTCATTTGCCATGCAGCCGCTACGTATGTATGAGTTCCCATATAATATACATATATATTGTCACTATGTGATCCTCAACGAGGGTGGGGAGAGTAAAGCGAAGAAAAATATGCGACGTACTACGGCCCTTACGGAAATTCTAAACGACAATGCCTTTTTTTGTTACAAGAATATAGACTACGTCTATTGCCTTACCACGTGGAAAGAACCTCTTGAAATTTGCATGATGCGAATTCCCATAGTAGCTCTATGTGCGCATAAAACGTTTTTTTAAACATTAGTGTAGGAAGTTGATGACATTATCGAGTTTGGGGAGTGAAAACAAAAGGTGTATCGCCGTTATCTGGTGTGTAAAAAGTATCTTAAGGCGACCGTCATGGCGGCGGCTATGAACAGGAACCGGAAACGTCATTGCTGAAATCGCCGCCGACAGAACTGGACTTCCGTCCGGTCAACGCCAGGGAAAACACACAAGCAATGAGAAGGACCGAGTGGTTTGGTTCCGGGAAAAGGACGGACGGCGTGCTCTCATTTTAGAATATTGTTGTTGTTAGTTGGACCATATATTGTTTAACAGATGTATCAACTGTGCGTACTTACTGCTCATGACCATAATGGCTGATGGCAAAATAATCAAAAACAAAACTTAACTTCATTGTAAAGTACAAGGCTTGTTCGTAAGCAATAAGGTTTTCAAATAGGTAATGATTACCAATATTTCAACAGTCGTAGTTAAATGGTGGGATTACGAGTAGGGGTTTAGGGACTTTGGATCTGCTTCAGACACATATATTTATACATTTTATAGATAAATTTTAAATATGGTAGGTGTATAAAAAATGTGTTATTGTAATAAAATTAAACTAAATTATACTTTTATATGATATACTATCTTATTTAGTCAAGTATCATCAAAGAGTGTTTTTTAAAAATCGAAAAAATAATATAGAAAAATGTTGTCAGTGAATAAATTTTATTTAAATGACGCAATTACTCGTATGTTTAACTTGATTTATTTAAATTAAAATTTTTATGCTTTATGTGTTCCCTTTAAATATTATATAGGTTATTAAAAATATATATTTAAAAGTTTGAAGGCTAAGCAATATACCAAAGAGATTATTTAGTTTTTTAAAGTTATTCAATAGATTTACAAACATTAAAATCTAATATTACCTACATTATTAAATATAATTTACTTAAGTAGTGTAACATTTCATCGTTTCCGATAAGTGCCTTCGGTAGCTCAGTTGGTAGAGCGGTGGACTGTAGTGGCAATTCATCAGTAATCCATAGGTCGCTGGTTCAAATCCGGCCCGAAGGAAATAATTTTTTGCATTTTTTGCAGATATTTTATTCAATGACTTGTTATTAACGTTAAATAATATTACATAATAATTATTTTAAACTAACAATATATAATACAATAATATGGTTGTTAATTAATTTATTATTTTTGTTTAATAAATGATAATCGTAATTTTATATAAATATGAGACAAATATATTATATATTGTTATAAAAATATGTTAAAAATAAATCTTATTTTATGTATATATATTATGAATGTTTTTTAACATAATATTAACTTATAATATTAGCAATATGAATTAGTTTCATAAGATAAGTTTTATTACTTAAAATGTTTTAATATTAAAAAGATTTTATACTGAAAAAATAACACAAGTTAATTTTTTCTATTAAACTTGAAAAATTCTGTGTAATGTGATAAACTGATATGTATTTTTATAATATATTTTGGACACGATAACTACTATAAATAATATTGCTAGTAGAAATTGAGTTATTCTTTTAAAGCGGCCCTCGAGAATATAATAAGTGACATAGGCAGCGGTCAATGCAATTGGAGAATAAAGCACACTTGATGTCGGAAGTTCACTTACTTACAAGTTGATAAAACTTATAATTGGCACCCCATTGATTTCATTGAGGACATTTTTTCTTGTTTTAATCTACTGAAACTCTTGACTTGTGAGTGGGAGGGCAGAGCAGTTATTATTGTTCTTTCCCGTTTCAATTTATATTCTCTACGGTTTGTATATCTGTCTTCTTTTTTTTTTTTGACGGAGACAATAGACATGAGATTTAAACTTATTCTCCCCGAAAAGAGATAAATCAACCAAAGCGAGCGTACAAAGTGCTTTGACATTAAAAATGACAATAGTGGTAAAAGGCTACTTTTTGAATAAAAAATAAAAATGACATAAACGAAACACATACGGTAATTTAAATGAGCGTGTTTTTTACTCTTATTTCATTACATTTTGTTTATGGTTAAAAAAATGATAGTGCGTATTACTTTTTTATAACAGCGTGGGTATGCTTAAAAAAAAAAAAGGAACGTGATGTGTGAACGAGACCGGAAAAAGTGAGCAACAAGTGGAATAAGTGCGGTATTTTTTCAAATTAACAGTAGGCGTGTGTTTTCGAGTTTGCTTACACCCTTATAGTGTATTTATAAAAAACCATATACACATGTATGCGTTTACAGAGATTAACAATTGAGTGAATTTAACAGTAATTTGAGTTAGAAAGCATTCCACGTATTATATAGGCGATATTGCTCGTGGTATTTAATAAGTTTTGCCAAACCGCTTTTGCCCCACGGCCACATGTTAAGTCAAGAAGACATATTTGCGGTGTGTTCATCAGTGTCCCCTTTACTTAGAAAGGTTATTTGTCAGCTTCCGAGGTCAAAGGAGAATAGCCCTTTCTTTGGATGTTATGAAATGCGATTCCCCTCAAAACGTTAAGATTCCGGAAATTCGTCGAGACCATCAAATTCATTTAGAACACGACAGTTGTAAGACTATATATGTCTCAAAAGAGTATTGTTTAATTTTACGAACTCGAAACATTTTGCTTGCACAATACACATTTTATTCATTAAACTTAGCGACGACGCATTATTCTGCAGAGGATAAGACACGCGACGAGCTTCCATTTGACATTTTGAATTATGCAGTAAATAAAAATAGAAACCCAGAAAAACAAATGTGCAAATTTTAACGAAACTGCTTATCCGCGTATGTCACGAATGATTCGTATTAACCGAGGTAGTTTTACGCTGATGCATGCAAAATTATTCGGCAAACAGTAAGCAAAAACCGGAGCATATTCATTCGTTATGTGTATAGTGACATAACAGCAGATCCATAGGGTTCGGACTGCCCGCCTTTTGCGAAGCTTATGCATATACCAAACACATATGCGTGTATGTGGGAATGTTTTCAAATATACATATATTAAAATACCGGAGTAGAGAAGGTAAAGATTTTAAATGTGTATTTTAAGATGTCAACTTCGACATAGGGTTCAGGGCGTAAAGGTGCTTGCTCGGTGCGAAATTACCATTATGAGACAACAGAACGTGGTGATCCATCGTGCGCACATGAATGTTTTAGTATGCACCCAGATTAGACCGTATGAATGTCTGTATGCCTATTCCCTTTTTACCCTTAAAGTGTTTTTTTAATCGGATCCCATGCAAATGAACTGTAAAAAAGGATTTTGACGAATTTGAATCACAGTTGTTCTAACACTGCGAGTACCGATACCGACGTGAAATTCTAATTTGATTTCTTGTAAATATATTTCTAGGTTTTTTTTTTAAATTATTCCTATTGCAATTAACATTTTAATTTCTTTCTTTCTTTTTTTTTTAACTTTTATAAAATTCTTTTATCAAACAAAGACTGTAAAATATTCATAGAAACCATTCTAGAATTAATCACCCTCTTTGGTTTTCGCGTTGGTATATCTCTTGGGACGTCGGCCTTTTCTCTTGTGACATTACTACCATCACATTTAGAGTCTCATCGCAAAAAATCCCCAATGTAATTTCTGATTAAATAAAAAGTAGACCTCCTCTAATGTATTTTTTTAACAATTTTTAAGTTCGACTTCTGATTAAGGAATTGTTTGAACCCAACGGCAAAACTAAGACTAAAAGTTATAAATTTAGTAGTTCTAACAGTGTATATTATAATACATTCGAATATTAAAAAGAAAAATTTCTTAAATAAATAATAATATACAAATTTACAATATATATTTTATTATAATCATTTTTTAGTTATTTATTTTTTCATTCTAATCAATTATAATTTTATTATTTTCCAGGAAGTATGTATTAAAAAGAAAATATATATATATAAATGAAAAATAATAATTGCTTTTGTAAAACGTTAAAAATGGATGGCAAAAATAACGAGAGAATAAATTCAAAATTGCTTGTTAGAGACCGCCTGATGTTTTATAAAAAGTTCGTGCTTTTTCACCTGATGTCTGAAATTATATATTTTTTTTCGGCTGATGATAATAATAATGACTCTGTGCCGAGGTGTTATTATTAAAAAGTTGCGTGAGAAGTGAGGGACGTACCGTCTCGTGGGGTAGAAAAGTATACTCAAATTCGTTCAACCGTTTTTCCAAGTGTAACGAGATTATGAGCACACCGTCTTCGCGCGGAGGGCGCAAGAAAATTAACACATAATCATATTTAAAGGCATCAGAATCTATATGACTTACCTTCAGGACCGGCAGTGTCAGTGGCGAGTTTGTGTTGAAACGCTTTGAATGGGAAATTGGTTTGTAACCAAGGCGACGGCTCTAAATACTTCTAAAAAAAGAAAAAGTACATAGTTAATAAACGTTTGTATAGTATGCAAGAGTATAATAATTTGCCCTATCATATGTTCCCTCCTTTCATAGTATAAACGCTATAAAATATTCCGGTCATGTGGACCCTTTTATCGTATATTTTGTCAGGCAGATGTCTTCAATATACGTGTGTAGGATTTTTCTTTTTTTAGCGTGTGAGTACTCCCTCGTTTTGCCGCGATAAGGGTGAAAGTCGTAACTCCCTAACCCGACCAATTGAATAAAATAGTCCTTGGGCGCGTAAAAGAAAGACAAATGTGTGTCCGGCAGTGTCCACCCAGATGTTGGAGATATTGGTCGGTAATATATGTTTTGGGGCACATAAACAGTCATCCCTGAATTTAAGTATTCTCAGCACACAACACAAGTTGTATGCGCACAGCGATGTATTTGCACAATTTGGATGATTTGCTACTATTTTTTATATTTGAAACTCGTTATTAAAAAATATATATGCAGTAACCCTTAAGGGCGTCTGGTTCTCAGCTTTAACATACGCATAGGCGAGTCAAAAAACAAGAAATACAATTTAGTGTTTCTTTTAGTCAATATTATCCTTAGTTTTTGTAAAATTGAAAATAGCACTATTTATTTTGAATTGTACATTATATAAAATATAAATGAATTTGAGTACAAATATATACAGTGTGATTTTTTTATCTTAACCCACTTAATTACTCATAGAGTAATCGAGTTAAAAATAATTTAAACATTTTTACTTATATGCTTACCTCGAATACCTTGTAAGGGTGTCAACTTTGTTTTTTCAAATGGGAACTCATAGTTTGAATTTAATTAAATGTTTGAGGTTTTTATTATAATAGAATGTGGCATTTGAATTTTTTAACATAACTTGACTCGTTTATTAGATATAAAACTTTAATGTTTCAAATTTTGGAGATAATTATAAGTAGCTAATTGTTTTTTTATGACGTTTCTATACGCATATACGCTACATTTGTTGTCATTTATGATTTAATCAACAGATATGCTTAAAGTGTGGTTGCAAAGCACGTTGATGAGTATTAACATTTATAAATACAACAACTGGTTAAACAGAAAACATATTTGTGATATCTGATAAAAAAACTAATTAGCTACCTATTCTTATAATCCGTCGACAATTATAAGTGTATATTAACAAAACATAAGGGATGAACTCAAAAAGCTTCATTACATAGCTTATAATTGAAGAATAATATGTAACTAAAGGTAACCAAAAAAAAATGTTTAAATTATTTTTATTCTATGAGTAATTGAGTGGGTTATGATAAAAAATTACTCTGTACATTGTACGCAATATTTTATCAAAAGAAAAGTGTGTCTTTTGATAATGTTATTAATTTATATCAATTAATAATTGCTACAGCAAATTTATGTGTTAAAACAATATTAAAAGTGAATTTAGATACCAGAAGTAAACACTATTGTGAGAAGGTCCACATTAGTTATGACGAGTAAAGTAATTGCTGAGGGGTATACTTTGATGGTGAACTAATGAAATCTCACGATTGAGTGCAGTATGATACCCGAAATTTATGAACCACGTAATTTCCGTTATTTCTCACGACGGAAATGTTATAGTTACTCAATTCGGAAATTCAATTAATTCAGGGTGTTTACGTTGAACGGGTTATTTTACCAATTGTAACTAAAATTTGCTTTTTGAAAAAAGGTGAAACAGTAATTGAATTTAATTTATCATTGATAGAAATGTCATTCATTTAAAATATATAATTATTAGATGTAAAGTCTTTCATTATAATACAAAGTATTTTAAGGTGTAGTAGAAATATCATTATATTCTTTCTAAAATTCGTATGAATTTATCAACACGTCAACACGAGGCTCAAAGTGTTAATACATTGATAAATGGTATATTTTCGTTTTATGAATATGAATTCAAGTATGTATTGTTTTGACAAAAATCTAATCTCAGCATCGATAAGCATTGAATTGAAGGCTTTAGAAAGCGAAACTATTGTGTATAAAAAGCGTACTAGTGCATATAGGGTTCTAAATTGGAATTCGACTTCCGATTTGTGCGGTGTTACCCCTTTTTTCCACCCATTCTTCGACTCTAAATCTTTCTTCGTACACCCCAAACGTATTCTCTCGTCTGTTTTAAATAGTTTTTGCCGTCAACGACGATTGCTTTCTCCAAAATTAACACGCCTGTCCTGTTGCTGTCTTTTTCTCTCACCAATATACGAAGGCGGAGATAGTCTTTTATATGCGTGTGTATATGTCGTTCATTTAAGGCCAGACTGAAAATGAGAAAAAGCATCGAACTTAAACGATTTTACATTCAAACAAAAGCCATCGTTTCCCTACCAATACGAATCTTACTAATGGAAAATATTGTCTTATTTCGACCAAGAACTTTGAATAAGTTTTATATAGGGTATGACCTAAGAAAATCAGAGCTTTAAAGAATGATTAAATTGATTTTTAACAATTCGAGTCTTTAGTACAATACATGCAAAATACTATAATAAGAATATCATTATAGTTAGTTTTATTCAGCACAAATTATTTTTATTATTTGATTGATTTATATTGTATGCCAAACAAGTAAAAACCCAGAAAACTTAAATTACTGCATATATAAACATTTTAATTATTTTTAATTTAGAAAAAAATTGAATAAATAAGTGTTTTTAAAATTATTTTTATCCAATCATACATTCAAATGTTTATTGGAAATTATAAGTTCATTTTAATTCTTAAAAGAATAATTATGTATTATTTATAATAAATAAGGCTTCAAGAATTTATGATAAAAATTTCAATTTAACAATCTCATAAATTTAAAATATTTCAACTTTGATTATAATTCGCTTTTATAAGCAAATATATTATATCTGTATAGAAAATAAAAAAGGAAATAAAATGATGTTTGATCCCCTTCATTAATAATTCATTAATTGTGGTAATCAAGATCGTTGTGGACGAGATTTTTTTCCCCAATGATGATTTTGACACCGTTAAAAAAAAAAAGAAAACAATTAAGTGCACAAAAATCTAAACTGTTTTAATGCTGGCAGTAATTGAACGGCCCCGACCAGGTCATTGTTATTCACCCTGACGCAATGCTTCTGACACGGCAAGATCCAACAATTGGCTATTCGACGGGGAATTGAAAAAATACTATATTTTTGTTTGTGTAACATTAACTTTTCCCCTTTATCATCACAAAAAAAAAATACTTCTATGTTTTTTAAATTACATAAAAAACTAACACGCAAAAATTTTAATACAATTATAACAATTGAAAATATTTTCTACTTCTTATGTAATTTTGTGATTCTATGTACTTGTTTTAATATCTATCTTAACAATTAAATAAACGATAAAACTAAAATTCATCACGAGCTTAACAAGGCGTAATTAACAACTATTCTTAATAATCATAAAGTGAACGAATAACACTGAGACAACGGATGAAAAGTGGCTCATAATCGTTTGAGAAGCTATTTGGAAATAAATTATCTTGTGGAGGAGAGGATTTGGTCGCATCTCTCACCAACAACGCATTTTCTTATTCTCTTCTACGTTATTAAGGCGAGGACGTAGGGATTTTGAAGTTGGCACGAGTGCGACGGCTAATATAATTACAAGAGCCATCAACTCAAGCTTGCGGTGACGAGTTGAAAGTTTAAGGCTTGGGGCAAATTTTTAGCTGTGGTCTAGAAAGCTCCTCTTACCCCTTATCCAGTCATCCAATTCACGATATTAAAACAGCGAATACGGCTCGTCGTGTACATCCGGTTTTATTTTAATTTCGACTTATACAACGTCTCAAGTCAAACCTAAACTAATTATCTCTAGCTAAAGTCTCGGTAGTTTCACGTGAATAACCTCTTTTACCATATTTTGATATTTTCGGCGGAATATGTGAGTAAATTAATATTTAATATTGTTTTTTTAGTTTTAAATAATTAGACCATTACGCATAAACATGTATCATGCATTCAGACTTTATGGCCCATTGTGACCCCTACCGAATTTTATTATAAAAATTTGTTTTTCACCAAAGTGTAATATTAGCCAACAAAGTATTTCAATTGATCATTTAACTCATGTACCCAGTATAATATTAGTTTAATGATAATAATATTTACAGTATTCCACAACTCCAATTGATTTTCATTTAATAGAAAAATAATGTAATAATTTCAATTATTGCTATAATTATCCACGTGTCCCTTTTGCAAAGCTTAGTCATGTTGCAGTGATTATTAATGTACGAACAGAAAGAACACGGGGTATTTATCAGTCAGCGTACGGTTCAGCGCACGCTAAAAATGCTAAGGGTTGGTGACGTTTATTTGGAAGATCCTTGCACTTTGAATGTTATGTAATGGCCGCTAAATAAAAGGGTTGTGGAACAATACTGAAATGTTGCTGGATTACATATTATAATGCTTAGAATTTCAAGAAGACATACTAGTATGTCTTTTGATTTTGATCTTTAACCTTAAAAAATGTATGTAACAAGTATGATTTAGAATGTTGGCCATATTTTGAGATATTTTCCGTCAGTAATAATTTTTAACGTAACATATTTTAAATTGAAAAAATCTATTAGAACTTTATTTTTTCATTAAAAAACTTAAATGACAACGATTGTTTTACCTTCTGTGAAACACAAAATAAATATACCAAGCAATTATCATGTTCTACTAAACAAACACTAAATTCAATATTAATGAAAATAAAAATAAAAGAATAGCTTCTTACGTGTATAAATAATCTATCCTTGTTTATTCAGCCAAACTAGTAATTAAGGTAAAAAAATAGTATTTTAAGGTCTGGTACCAGTAATATACTGGTACACATATCTTATCAATAAAAAGTCATCGAAATTATACTATGCTATACGATAATTAAAACTTCAGTAGTGTTAATTTACTTTTATTTTCTCTTATTATTCCCTGATTATTATTAAGGTTTTTT